GACATAGAATACAGTTCAAGGAACAAGAGGAGTGATAAAATATTTCCAATTGTTAAAAATCTTAAGAAAGTTTTACATCAGGAAAATGGTGGCTATCAACTTTCTATTGTACCAAGATGTCACCAGATACATTTAAAAGAACTAACATTTGAATTTTAAATGTCAATATTTATAATACATGATAAAGTGTATAAAATGTATCTTTTGAAACTATTTAAATATAATGATGATTTTAAATTTTAAAAAGAAAATCCATCAAGATATGATTTTTCCAAAATTGGTAGGCAGATATACAAGTACAACAAGTTTGAAGAGTATTCATTGCCTTTCTACTTACAGCTCTCTTAGCTCCTGGCCTGCCGAGCTCACCTCACCACCAGCACCAACCAAGCAGGCCCCGTATTTGTCTTGGTTGACTGTAGTGTCACCACCCTTAGCATAGTTGATGATTGAATGTTGAATACAAGGAAGTGTCATCGTGAACTCGATCTGCTTGGGCTGGGCTGGGCTGACTGAGACTAAGAACAACGGTCAAGAGGTGTCCTGCACTGCCATATCTTGTCAGATGAAAAATAAGTCTAGACCTAATCTAGAAGTGTGGTCAGCTAAGTCATTATAAATCTCAGATCAAATGAGGCATCAGATTTTCAAATTTAACTGGATTCTGGAATTTCTCTACAGTTTTTAAAACCAGCAAAAGCAGAATTCACCCCCCCTGGGGACAAAGTTAGCCAAAGTCCCAATGACCATTTTCCTCTGCTAGATCAATGCCAAGTGCCATCCTACATTTTCCTGCCATTACCACTGCATGTCTAAGTGATCCTCTTCAGAGTGTACCCCAAAGCGGTTGCCCCTCGTGCCCCGCCCTGAGTTAAGCCATCACTCAGAATCCTATTCCCGGGCTCTGACATTAGGTAGGGGGCTACCGACACGGGCCCCCATTTGTGTCTTTCCATCTTCTAGCATTGATATCTTACACATATCACATGGTTTTAAATTTAAAGTATCCCCAAAACAGACTTTATTATCAAAACCAGATTGAAAAAATATGCAGACAAGTCAAAGTACTTGCATTAAGGATTTGCACGGTATCAAGAGAAGTTATCCAAGGCAGAAGTGCACATCAAACCTCGTTCTCCTGATTCATTTCCTCTAGGGAAGCAGCTTAGAATTATTCAGGCAAAATGCCATGGAATAATTGCACTGCTAACAGAATACATGTAGAAAAAGTAGAGGGAGGATTGCTGAATTCTACCTACAGGGCTTTGGGAGTCACATGGCATGTTTTTCTTTCTCACTTAGATGGGGGAAAATCTATTATGTTAAACAGTTACTTGAAGGGCAAAGAAAATCAGAATTTAATGTAATGTTTTTATACAGATGAATTACAGAAAAAAGAGTAAGAATAATATTTTATTTAGGATTAAAAATTATAGTAAAAGTACACTTGGAAAGATTTTAGTTCTCAGCAGCTTTCCTTACCAAATAATCTACTGAATTGCACTGCTTGGCTGTAGTTGGCCGAACATCTTGAGTGCTCATGAAGAGGATGAGCTTGGCCGGGGTCACCCCATCGGTGTCAACGCGGAACTTTCCCCCTCTGTGTAGTCCTCTGTCGCTGCTTGAAAAAGACTAGTTGTAAAACCATCAAAATAAATACTTTCAGATGCTACTCCCCAAACTGGGCCCAAGACCACTGGGTATGTCCCGGCTCCCCGAGGCACGGGAAAGAAGTGACCAAAGTGGAATCAGTGAGGAAGGTTGAGGCACTAAGGGAGGGAGAGGCAGAAGGGAAAAGTGGAGGAAAAGAGTCAATAGTAATTAAGAGAGAAAATTAACCATGTAGAAGAAATAAGAGGATGTCATAATATTTACATAAAAGTACCCTGTGGCAAGGGGAAAAAATGGCTGCTTTATTGCAAATGTAGGGCAAAATCTAAGCAGAAATCCTCATAAATTCATATACATATAAGAAACAAAACAAACAACACCCCCGGTATCTCTGGAAGGTGCTAAGGGAACTAACTTGTTATTTTAAAAACTGGCATAAGGCCCTGGCCGGTTTGGCTCGGGTTCGGTTCCCGCTAAGGGCACGTACTTCGGTTGCAGTTTGTCCCCGGCCCTGGTTGGTCGTGCGGGTGGCAGCCACTCGATGTGTCCCTTCACATCGATGTTTCTGTCTCTCTCTCCCTTCCTCTCTCTCCCTCCCACTCTATCTGAACAAAAAATGGAAAAATATCCTCGGGTGAGGATAAAAAAAAAAAAAAAAAAAAACTGGCATAAGAACCAAGCATTTATCCACCCACTCCTGTATGAACTGTTCTTCAAGGTAAGCAAATAGAGGTCAAGTTTCTCCAGTTCACCATTTTGATCTAGGTGATGCCAAATATTAGCTGCCTCCTAATGAAATGCACAATAGTACTTAAAACTAAACAAAACTAAATCTGATCAGGCCTCTTGATCTAACTCCAAATATGAAGGGGGTGGGAGATGGTTCAAGGATAGCACCAGCAAAATCCTGACTGGGAAAATAACTACAGGAGAAATTAATTCAACACTTCAATCAAAAGTCAGAGCCTGGCCCAGCTGGTGTGGTTCAGTGGTTGAGCACTGACCCACACACCAAGAAGTAACCGGTTGGATTCCTGGTCAGGGCACATGCCCAGGTTGTGAGCCCAGTCCCCAGTGGAGCATGCAGGAGGCGGCCAATCGATGTTCTCGCTCATGGATGTTTCTGTCTCTCTCTCCCTCTACCTTCCTCTCTCTCTCAAATCAATAAAGAAAAAAAAAAAAAAACTTAAAAAAAAAGGTAGAGACTGTCAGGTTGGGGAGCAGAGTTGGTTATTGATCTTTTTAATCAGTCTTCTCTCTCTAGTTCTTACTATAGACACTTTAAAAATAAAGATACAAATAGATAAGAAGTGACTGGGTAGAGACACGCCATGAAAACAGTAAGGAGAAGCTGAAATGATCATACAAATGGGCCTTGAAGCGAGGAGTAGTAATGGAGATAAAGCAGGAAACTTCATCATGATAAGTGGTTAGTACATGAGAAAGACAAAAAAATTATAACTGTATATGGGTCTAATAAAAGGGCTTCAAGATACAAAATGCAAAAAACTGACAGAAATAAAGGAAAAATTCACCACCACAGTTGGAGACTTTAACACCCCTCTGTTGGTAATTAACAGACAAAAAACCAGTTTGAATATACAACTAAAATGGTGCTATCAACCAACCATAAAAATTTGGAAACAAAGAACCACAAAGATTCTAAATTAAGACGAGTAGGTGGGTTGCTGAGGCATTCATCTGCCTCTTCGAAACTAGTTAAGTAGTGTTCAAACTAAATGACTAAGCACAGGTTTGCCACAGACCCGAAGACAAAGACGAGAACAGGAGAGGCATCGAGTTGAAGGAAGAGTGGTCCATCTTGTAGTTATACAGCTTTCAAACCCAAGTAAGTTTTCTGAGCCTTTTTTACACACGGGATCTCATTCCATTCTTACACATTCTTTGAAAAAGAGCTCATATTTCCTTATCCCCATTTTACAGATAAGGAGGTCACATTCGTAGGCTGACTTACCAGAGAAACAAAACTGCAATTTTGCTGCTAGATCAAAGGGTGGACATATTAGTATAAAGATCACCTGAGTGACTGTACTGGGAATGCAGTGAATACCAACTGTTTTCTTTTTTTTTTTTTAATCCTCACCCAGGGATATTTTTTTCCATTTACCTTCAGATAGAGTGGGAGGGAGAGAGACATCGATGTGAGAGAGACACATTGACTGGTTGCCTTCTGCATGACCCTGACCAGGGCTGAGGACCAAACCACACGTGCCCTTGACCAGAATTGAACCCGCAACTCTTTGGTCCACAGGCCAATGTTCTAACCGTTGAGCCAAACCGGCCAGGGCATGTTTTCTTTCTTGAAAGTAAATTTTCTCTAATATGTCCAAATGTGTAAAATGATTATATAAAAGGTTTTGGCTCCGCACTTAAGAATTAGGCTCTAGTTTCACACACTCCCTAAAAAGACAGTTGGATACCAGGTTGGACCTAAGAGAGGACAGTGGTAAACATTCACTCTGTGTCCAAACATCATCCTAAAATGCAACCCTTCTAGATGGACTCACAAACTGTGTTGACCACACACTCAGTTACCCATAAAAATCTATCAAGTGTGGTTTTGGAACAAATTTCAAAATAGGCAGTCTGGGGAAAATATACAGATTTACTCTTCCAATTAGCAAAACATAGACTTTACAGATCACTTCGTTACTCAATTTAGAGGACAAATCGCAGTGTAAAATGACTTTGTTTCTTGGCTTGAACCAAAATATGTTTAAAAATAAATATACAATTCAAATATGTTCTAGGCGAGGACTAGTTATTTAAGCATTGTACGTATTTTTTATTTACACTCTTCTCCACGTTACACTGAAGCATGTTTTCTTTTAGGTACATGGGAGACCATGTCATTAAGGCTAATGGTGGTTTTATCTAGGAGAAAAGAAAAATACATGCATACCAAGGGATATTTCTCAGCTTCTTAGCAAAACACAGAAGGGAGGAAAAATGATTTGACTTTCTAGTTCCAGCTGTGTTCAATGTTTTATGTAAGGTGAAAGTTGTACAGTCTGTTCAGATTTTTATAGAACCTGAGTGAATAAAATGCAGAGGTAAATTACTACTTTCTATTTAAAGCAAACTGGCTTTTTACAAATCATATGACTTTTTTTTTTTTTTTTTTAAGGAAAAAGAAAAGAGAGCATGTGTTCTCCCCAGAAAGCAGGCCAGTGGCTCCTTCCTCCCAGTAGCCCAGGCTGAGGGAGGCCTCCCTCTGGACTCGGAGGCTCCTCTGGTCTCGCCCATGCTACTGCCTCGTCTGCGGTGGGCGCCAGGAGAACAGCGGCGTGTGCACGTGTGAGAAACAGCACTGGTCGGATTATCACCATGCACACAAGCTTTGAAGGAACTATAGAATAATAACTCAGTTACTTTTTCTGGCTTATTCTTATTCTGAATCAGTAAGCTGAAAGTGAAGGTCGCCACAGCTCCATGGTGCCTTCTTCCACCTGAACACCTACTGAAGAAAAGGGTTAAGGCAGCATGTGTTAAGATGTAGCACTGCTTCTAAAAGTATTTGGAGGAGATAGGCATGAATCCCAAGTTCAGATGCACTTAAGTACTGAGTTGCTTATTCAACCATGAAGAGGTCTCTTGAATGCACAATTAATTTTTAACAAATGCAGTGATTCCATTTTGATTTTATAAAAGTAGGGTAAGTCACATGAACGTCTCGGAGTGGCTGAAAAACCAAGACTGCAGGGGTGGAGCCAAACATGAACATACATTTCAGCAGAAAGGTGATAAACAGAAAGCCAAGCAGATAATATGCTGAGGAGGGAAGAAATCCCACATAATGATTTATACTGACTTCAAAACAGAGTGAAAATTCAAACTTCATAAGGTTACAAATAAATGCAGTTAGGTGTGTAGATCACCCCAAAAGAACCTTTGGCTATTTAAGTTGCCATAGTGTCTTCTGAACTGTTGAGACCTGATGTGCCTACTACTCTGGTGGACCTTCACTTTTATAACTGGTAGAAGTCTCTCACCAAGACTCTAATTTTGGCATCAAAAATATTCATTTGTAGATCAGAATCATAAAACTAATAACTTCATGTTAATTGGCTAGTTTATGAGATAGGAAACATATAGTCCTTAATTCTAAAAAGGCCATTTAATATCTTATCCCCGTTACTCATCCAGGTAGGAGGGGAAGGGAGAGAGCATTGGGAATGGCATTAGAATACAATGTTTAGAATATAAAACATCTGGAAAGGAACATCAAAGGCCAATAAATATTCAGTCTACAGGAAGTACAGGAAAATACGAGAAAATACTAAGAGTACTTTGCTCTACCATGGAGATACACAGTAGCCTAGATTACTCTTTGGATACTTTATTTAATTGGCCTTAATTGCATATAAAGTGTGCAACATGATTAGGAAGGATTTGTCTTTAATTCAGCTCTGAAAGAAGCATGAATGGATCGAAACTCTAACCACAGACCATCATAGATCATTAGAGCACTTACAGACACCATTTCTTATCTTGAAAACCTTTTGCACAAATCATCTGCTAACCTTTGGATCCAGGTTTCAGACTTGCAAAAACCTTGGGGTTCTTAAGGGCAAGTGAGAGCTCATTGAGAAAGGAAATAAAGTGGGAGTCTCTTTCGGATTTCTTTGACTCAAAAATGACGACAATGGTGAAGTGAGGTTCTGGGCGGGTTAGGAAGTAGGTGCTCTGAACTTTGTCATCATAGAAGTGAACCACTTTCTCCAAGCTGTTCAGGTCGGACGTGCGGTCCGTCATGATCATAATGACATTGGGCCAGTGCATGACAGGCCTGTCGCTGGGCAGAGACACCACAGCGGGATACTGGTCCACACCCTTCGGTGCCTCTCTGTAGGAGTGGGGGTGGTGATAGCCATGACCCTGGAAGCTCTCAGACCCTCGGTTGTCAAAGATTAAAGACACATTGGCAGCGTCGTATTTCCTGATGAAGCTGGAAATCTTTCCAAACAGGTCTGGGTTGGCTTTTGCAGTCAATGTTTTCATTTCTGAAGCAGTCGTTTGTCGGCTCAGTGCCTCGTGAAAGTAAAAGCTAAATTTGGCAAGAAGCATGTTTTTGAGTTTCATCAGCCAAAGGAAAAGGTGCGGGGGCTGAACGGCCTTCTGAGACTGCCCTCCAAACAGATGTTTCTTGGTCTCCCGCTGCTTCTCGAAGATCTGGCCCCAGGTCTGCAGCTTGGTGTGCGCACTGTGCAAGTTGACCAGGGATGGCAGGAACTTCCACTCTGAGACCTGAGCCTGAGCCTTCAGGAGGTGACTCAGGACGTCGACTTCCAACTGGAAACTGCTTTCCAAAGGGCTGAGGATTGGGTGGTGAAATCTGAAGTGGGAAGAAAAATGAATAGAGTAAATGGGAATATTACTCCATGTTGACATTTTCTACCCTCAAAAAAAAATGTGGTCAGACAAATAATATTACATCTGGGGGCAGGGGAAGGAAAAATGGAATGTTGACTTATTTAAAAACCTGGCCAGTGTGGCTCAGTGGTTGAGTTTGTCCCATGCACTAAGTGGTCACCAGTTCGATTCCCTGTCAGGGCACATGCCCGGGTTGTGGGCTTGATCCCCAGTAGGGGGCATGCAGGAGGCAGCGGATTGATGATTCTCCTTCTCTTTTCCCCTCTCCCTTCCTTTCTCTCCAAAAAATCAATAAAAATATATTTTTAAAAAATAATTCTGACATAACTTCACCATTTCAGAATTATATCTGCATCATAATCTCCTATGGCAATAGCCTGACACTTAAAAAAAGAGAGAGCAAGAGTGGTAGCCAACTTCTTTCCAAATGTAGGGAGATTAAATGAGCTATAATTCTTTCTTAACCTATTTAACTAATTCTGGTGATTGTGTGACTCACATTATCATCAAAACAAGGCATCTTCCTTTCAGGGTGTGGTCCTAAAGAGGTGGGAGTAATAGAAAGGTCACTAAATCATCACTGGAGTGTATATATAACATGCTAAACTTAACGTTCATAGTGACTCCATAAATTATTATTAAATCTGTGTTTCAGGTAAGAGTACAGACTATAAACCTATACCTGAAACACTGTATATAATCAAAAAATGTTTGTTAAAGGAATAGAACATTTACCAGAAAGCCCTTATTCAATCCTAGTTCCCAAATTCCCTTTATATTTAATCATGGTTAAAACAAAATGGTAGCTAAACAAAAATGATCTAACAGTTCAATAATTTTCCATTTATCTCAGGGTAGAATCTAAAATCCTTAAAAAGGCTTAAATAATCTGGTCCCTTCTTAATATGAGCCATATTCCCATTCTTTTCACTTTCTGTGGACATTAAATAAATAATTAGAAATGCAATGATATCACAAAGATAGCCAAGGTAGTAGTGTGATTCATTTTGACCGTGACCTACAGTTAGAAGTACGCTTTACATTGTGACTAAGTACACCACACACACACACACACACACACACACAAATAAAAGGGTTTTTTTTAACTTGTTTACCCTTACAGTCATCCCTCGCCACTTCGTGCTTCGACTTTCGCGGCTTCACTCCCTCGTGGTTTTTTCAAATATAGTATAAACCATGATAGAGTGATGCCGCGGAAGTCGAAGCACAAAGTGGCCGTGGCGAGGGACGACTGATTGTGTATAAAGAAAGAATTCTACTTCGTGGAAATTCACTTATCACGGTAGAGTCTGGAACTGATTAACCACGATAAACAAGGGCCAACTGTACTATGTCCAATGTACTCTTCATATTTAATAATATATATAAATCCTAATTGGATTCCTGGTCACTAAATTAATTTTATGACTCAGAAATTGCTACCTGCTGTTTGTAAAACACATTCTACTTTACTTGTAGTAACAATATTGAGGGGAAGGGGGCAGAACATGACAGTATCCTCCGTTCCAGGCAGAGGGGGAAGGGCAAGTACAAAACCCTGAGGTGACCCTTTTTCATCAATACTGCCTTCTATGCTTCAGGTCTCCTCTTCAGGGTCACCTCCTTAGAAATCTCTACCACCAGCCTAGGTCAGGATCCCCAATTATATCCTCTAGTTTCTTTATACCTGTCTTCTTCTTTAGTAGCTTAATCATATATTTTATCAGACAGCCCAGTAGGTGAGGCTCAGTGGATTGAGCGTCCTCCCATGGACTGAGAGGTCCTGGTTCAATTTCTGGTCAGGGCACATGCCGGGTTGTGGGCTCATCCCCAGTGGGAGGGCGTGCGGGAGGCGGCCCATCGATGTTTCTCTCTCACATCGATGTTTCTATTTCTCTCTCCCTTCCCCTCTCTCTAAAATATCAATAAAAGCATATATTTTAAAAGGTTTACTTTATCAGACAAACTGGTTCCCTTGCTTTGAGCTCCTCGCTGAGGGGAAGTAAACCTGCCTACCTCTTTCACGCCTTTATCTCTACAGCACATGGCACATAGTGGAGATTCAGTGTATGTGCTATGTTAAGATGTGAATCCTAGTTCCTGCCTCATTAATTCTACCTGCTGCTTATGATCTAAGTGAAGTTCTGTGACAATGGAATCAAATGGTTAAGGAGACTCCTCTCCGTATGGACCACGCAGAGTTTCTTGCTGTCTTTTCTTTTGAGAAATGCCCAGGGAGGTTCAATGTCTGCCTGGCCCGGTGCACCCACCTTCTCAAGGAACCTACATCAAGCCCTTACACGCTTCTTAAATACCCAAAGCATCTGCAAAAGTTGCAGGAATCATCTTAGCCAGTGACCCAGTTTGAAAGGTGCGGGCAAGATGTAGCATTTACTGAGCAGTCTTATGCAGAGGCAGCACAGGAGACACTTTACAGGCCTGAGCCCTTGAGATTTCACTGCTCCACTGTCAACAAGACAGAAGCTTCTCTCACAGCTCAGTTTTGGCCCCAGTTGAAAGGGAAAATGCTCGTTATATATTAAACAGTTAGGAAAAAAATCACAAGTACACCTAGAGTTTTTAAAAATGTATTTAAACACTAATTAAAGGGATTATGATTAAGACAGCTCATACTAGGTTGGACATTATAAGACAGGAACTGATTATCGTATGATCAACAGGATGTAATTATTCACATCGATGACAACAACATACTGTTTTTTTCTATTACTTGCATTTTACCCTTAAGATAAGGAAGCTAAAACATGGGTGGAGGGGCTAGTCTAGTAATTTATATACTCAGAAAATCAGAAAGATAAAACATCTCAAATCCTCTAGCTCATGTGCTTAATTAACTAGTTTGGACTATTCAAACATTACATGCTTCTGAATAAACATTAAGAAAGTCTAACACACACACACACACTAACATATCTCAAAATCTCTGAATTGTAAGAAATGCTCCTAGTCCCTTGGCCTAAAGGCTAAGGCCCCTTAATACTTAATGAGCATTAAGTATCACAAGATTCTATAATCGTGGATCAGGAAAATTTACTAAGGAATTATAAACACAGTAAGACTGTTAATAACAGAAAATGGTATGAAATTGGAGAAAATTCTACCACTAATAACAATACTGTTATTTTTGTTCTTCCAGTTGGAAATCATCTATACCCAACATTCTCCTTGAAAGAACATGAATTCTCTTGCAAACCTTCAGAAAGAATTCTGAACAAGCTCTTCCATAAATATATACTAAAAGTGCTCAAATGCTCAATATTTACTAGGACAAATGTGAATGTTGAAGCTATTTTTCATTCTTAAAGCTAAAAATACATGTTAAAATTATTCTGCCAAGACTTTGAGATTAGCATTACGATATATCATTTCCCCAATTCCACTCTGCTGTGTGCCTCATGTCTATTCACAACTTAACTATAGGGCAGCAACTGTCAACCTTTTTCATCTCAAGGCACACATTAACTAATTACTAAAATTCTGTGGCACACCCCAAAAATTTTTTTTCCAATCTAACCAAAAAAAAAGGTAGAATATAATTTTGATTCATTCATACCAAATGGCTATTGTTGTGTTGGTTGTTATCATATTTTTATTTGACAGTCTAAGGGAAAAGAGGTCAGTGCCCCTTAAATAGTCAGGTATTGCACGTTTTAAAAAATTCTTGCAGCACACCGCTTGAAAATCACTGCTACAGGGGAGCCATTAAATTGTTGTAATCCAAAAATATACACCTCAGCTATGGCAACAAGCTTGAACAAGTCTGAATACAGAACAAACTGATAACTATTTGCAGAGAACGTCTGCTTTGTAAAAATCCATTTAAAAAAAAACCGGCCAGGTACTCAGTTGGTTAGAGCGTCATCCCGATACACCAAGATTGTAGGTTCGATCCCTGGTCTGAGCACATACAAGAATCAACCAGTAAATGCATAAATAAGTAAAACAACAAATCAATGTTTCTTTCTTTCTCTCTCTCTCTCAATTTTCTTAAAGCCATAATAGAAAAAAAACTAAAAGAAAAATACTATGCCTTTAAAAAAAAAAAGAAAAATTTAAGAGCCAGAAAAAGAGAAAGTACACATGCACAAATGCATTCCTTCCTTTATAAACCATCAAGGGGTTCCTTCCAAAAGAAGTATGCAGGTTCCATGCATGTGAAGAGTCAGAAACCCAATTAAAAAGAAATCTGTAGCCCTGGCCGGTTTGGCTCAGCGGTTAGAGCGTAGGCCTGCGGTCCTGAGAGACCCGGGTTCGGTTCCCGCTAAGGGCGCGTGCCTCGGTTGCAGTTTGTCCCCGGTCCTGGTTGGTCGTGCGGGTGGCAGCCACTCGATGTGTTCCTTTCACATCGATGTTTCTCTCTCTCTCTGTTCCTCTCTCTCCCTCCCACTCTACCTGAACAAAAAAATGGAAAAATGTCCTCTGGTGAGGATAAAAAAAAAAAAAAAGAAATCTGTAGCACAACAATGTGGATGTACTCAATGCCACAAAACTGTACATTTAAAAATGGTTAAAATTGTAAGTTTTATGTTATGTGTATTTTACCACAATTACAAAATCTGTATTATCCTCTCGTTTAAAACAATTAGTTTACTAGTTTTTAGATGAATTAGCCAGAAGTTCGCCCTGCAGGACCTCCTATGCTAGGAGGTATTTATAATGGATACAAATAGAAAGTAAGACCTCCCTAATGAAGGGTAAAAAATAAAATGTTTGGAAGAAGGGGCAATTCCTTTGGTAGAAAGTTTGAGGAGGCCATTGAGAAGACAGGATTTGAATTGAGCCATAAAGCTTAAAGAAAAAGCAGGATCCATTAAAAAAAAAAAAAAAAGCAGGTGGGATTTAGCTATGTGAAAGTGAGGGCTTACATTTACATTTCTGGTCCGAATCCGTAATCACTGCTGATTCCACACCTTTTGCCATGTGACTCCAGAGCTTCTCCCA